CATCTGTCCCAGGAACCCCAAACAGTATCCTCTGCCACCCCAATAGCCCTGTCAGAGGGAAAGACCAGATCTATCAAGGCTGTGCTATTCTAGTGCCAGGTGGTGAAAGGACAGAGCTGACTGTCCCTGTGCACCACCTCACCTGTGTCCTGTCAAGAGAAAGCACCAAGTCCTGACCCTCAACATCAAGCCGCAAAGAGGATGAGGGGCTCCCAGGTAAAGGTTCGTGGGTGAGAGAATTTAGCTGCCATACTGAGAAGCAACCAGAACAGAGAAGTTTTGCTAAAATCAGAATTCAGAAAAAACAGAGGTCCTGGTCATTTAGACAAGAGCCATCCCACTATAGAGTATGATTGCATCTGGCCTCTGCTGGGATCAGTACTTCAATACCTCAATTTTTATTGCACTAGTATTTTGTCATCACAGCTGTCGGCTGAGACAAGGGCTAAAAACAATTTCACTTAAGAAGGAAGTTCTGAACAGGCAGAGTTCACAGCATTCCTGTTCACAGTGAACACTGCCTTTTTCAATCACAAGCATGTCCCCACTACATACACTCTGGATGTTACAGGCCACACGCTGAGACAGGGACAGTTAGACTACAATCCTCTCAAACATTCTCTCTCACACTCTCTCCTCCTCCCCCCACATTCTCCTTTCCTCGCTGGCCCAGTCACATGACAAACCATGGCTTCTCATTTCCGTCTCCAAGCAGAAGTTGCTCTCCATCTGGGAGACACGTAATTTCATTCTTGCACCTCAGGTGACCACAGGGTTAGGCCAAGCACTCCTGAGATTCACCCAATAAAGCATCTTGAGCCTTTGGAGAAAGACTCAAAACAAATATCCAAAGTAGTATTCCTTTTCTCCCAAGCCCTTCCCAAGGTTATGCAGGAAGATAATATTAACTTTGCTTCCCTAGAGGAGAGGGATGTAATTAGAGCCCCAAGAAGGTTTCCCCACAAGGCATTAATGGGCAACTTTGCCAATATTTTGGTAAGATAGAACATGGAACTTTCTATTCTGTGCCAATTGCTGCTTTCACTGGAACACAAAGCCTTTTTTATAAGTGAAATGAGAAAAGAGGAAGAACAGGCAACAAAAGGCAAGAGATACAAAGTCAGCCTTCTCCTTTCTCTGCCGCGGGCCCAAGCCCTGAGCCACAGCTGCTCCAAAGAGTGGGAAGGGGAAGTTCTCACAGATTTCAAGATCTGAGCATAAAGAAATCTCAACAATTCTTCAATTCTTCAGCATAGCCCTGAACAAACCAGATGAAAATGGAAGTATTATTCAAGTTCTAGTTCAACAAATCTCATTACAGGAAGTTTTCTTCCCCAGTTTTGCCCAAGTGTTCCTAATGACTTAGAAATGTATTTACAAAAGCTTATCAATCAAGGGCTTGGCAGGGAGAAAAGTGCAGCAATGAATGAATGGAAACCCAAAATCTCTGTAAATGTTCATTAAAGTTATAAAGGGGAAAAAAAGCTTATCAATCACGTACTGTGTGTCAGTCCATGCACTGGACTTCAAGGGAGTGATCCATCTCAGATAATATTTCAAGTTTTGGAACTTCCAGAGAACTAAACTTTCAGATGTAACCAGTCGTAGCAAAAGGGGGTTGGTTCTACTGGCCCAGTCTATAGCGAATTTGTCTGCTACCACAAAGACCAAGCCCCTTTGGCATTTCAAATCCATCAAAAACTCAGAGGAAGAAAGAGGCGCAGTCTCCTTCTGTACTATTTACAGCCTCTGAAATCCAGTGGGTCATCAACTGTGAGTTTGTTCTCACTCGATGGTAGTGAGCTCAAGTGTGAGTTAAGTCATAGTAAAGGCTTTTCCAGCTCCATTCCTTCTGTAAAATGCCCTTGGCAGCCACAGATGGCTCATCCATGAAAGGCTACTTAAGCCATCACTCTTCCACAGTCTTTGATCCCCCCACCCACCTCAACATCTAGTGTGAGAGACAAGTTCTTTCTGGCTCCAAGACAGATTTGTTCCATTTTCTCCCAGTTCATGGTATAGTCCATGCAGACGGCCAGCACCACAGTTCAAATGCATTGCTTCTCCGGTAGTCTTCCTTAGTCACTGCCCAGCGATGTGACTCACACGCTTCTGATGTGACTAAAAAAGGTCTCCTTAGGTCAGGTACACTTTAGTCTCCACAGTGACACCACTGCTCTCTGACATTCCATAAAACGGCCTTTCACAGCAGACTTGTCCAATGCACTAGGCTGGGTTTCTTCACTGCTGCTTCCACAGGCGATGACTGAAGTGTCCAGGAAAACAAAATCCTTCACAGCTTCAATCTTGTTTCCATTTGTCTTGCTGTTGCTAATTGGCCTGGTGATGAGGATTTCTGCTTTATTTACGATGACAATCCACACTGAAGGCTGCAGTCTTTAATCTTCATCAAATAGAATGAGAGATAAATATGTAAATCAGCACGTTAAGTGCCCACAAGGTTGCCTGCCCACTTTGTACATTCCTTCCGGATTCAGAGGGTCTTCTAACGGGATGCTGCACCACAGGTCTGGCCAATGGAATAAAGCCCCAAACCAATGCTTCTCAAAGCTCAGCACACAACAGAATCACCTAAAACATTTGTTAAAATACAGAATTCCCAATCTAACCAAAAGCTTCCAACTTATACAGAGGACATGATATACAAATACTGAAAAGAAAATACAGAAATATCAAATAAAGAGACTTTATTTCTGCTTTCTTAGAGAGGTGTATTCTGTCTTTCCCTATTCCCTTAGGTGTCCAGAGATGCCTGGAGACAAGATGAAAGAAGTCAAGGTGTCTAATCAAGTCCAGAAAGGTCAGGAGGCCTTGTGCAAAAATAGAGTCAGTTTCAATGTCACACCTGTGTCTATGACTTCAGCAAGAGACTAGGGCTATTATTGTTAAGGGTGGGGGCTACATGACTAGACATAGCAGAGAAAACTATTTTGTGAAACAATGCAGAGCTTCAAAATTCACTTCTATTGGTTTTCACAGACACAAGTCGGTTGGTGAACCCTGACCCATTGATAGCTGTGCCCTGGTGGAGACGGCCAGCAGAGGGACAGTTCCCTGCCTCAGACTTGCCTCCTGCCTCCCCACATAGCCACCTTCCCTCTTCATTATGCAATGTAGACAGCCTGAGAGAAGAGTGGGGAAGAGCTTAAGAAGTACCTCCTTCTTGGAAACTCCTCTCCTTTCCACCCACTCCCCATGGTGAGTTCTAAACCCAGCCTCAAGGCTGTCTGAAATAAGAACATTCAGCTCAACTCAATGTCATCCAACGCGAACTGATTCACAGCTGACAATCCAGCAAGCTTCTAGAGGCTGTAAATCACACAGGAGAATGCCCATTATTCTCCCCAGGAGCAACTTGTGAGTTTGAATCATCTGCCTTTGGGTTGGCAGGGCAAGTCCTTAACCACTCGACCAGCAGAAAACATTAGACAGCATCAGCTCTGGGTGTTCCTTAGAACAAGATTTTTCAAGCTTCTTTTGGAAATCAGTCACTCAACTCTAATGAACTATAACATATTCAGTTGTTGTTGTTGTTGTTGTTATGTGCCAACGAGTTGGAACTGACTCACAGGTGACCCTCCAGAGAGTTTCCAGAGGTAGTGAATCACATGGGAGGAGACTGCTCATCCTTTTTCTGCAAAGTAACTGGTAGATTTTAATCACGTGCCTTTGGGATTGCGACACAGCATCATATCAAAAATTTAATAGGAATATCATCATATAAGTGAATAAGGTTTTAGTGAGCCAACATACAGACAAAATCTTAAATCTTCAATCTATTTCCCAAATTTCCCAATCAAAACTGGATGTGCTAACTTGGAGTGTTTGTCTGAGTTCATCACAGGCTGGAAGAACCTTGGTGTCAATTTAAGCCTTTTCTCTTCTCTTCACCCAGCAGAATTGGGTAAGAACTCTTAGTCAGTGTCCAAAAAATGCTTCCCAGGCCAACTGTACCCACAGTCCCTACTTCCCATCACCTCTATGTGTGCTGGATCCACTCAACTACCATGTCAGCCCTCGTACACATCTGGCCCCAACTCCTATTTTGGAACCTCACCATAACATTTTTGTCCCAGCCTTTGACCAATTTCTCTACCTTCTGGTCTCATGTTGTAACTTCTCACTTCTTGGAAATTCTGGGATAGCTCTCAGGGAGCCTGTAACATCTGAGCCCTTTGGCACAGCCTAGCAGCTCTTGAACCCTGGCCCTTAGAAAGCAACTCCCCATCCATAATCGTCACAGAGGAGATACAGAGGAAGTGTGACTGGCACAGTCCTTAGGGAGCTGTGCTGCTAACTCAAAGGTGGCGACTCTACCCGTGGTTCTGAGGCAGAAAGATGGGTAATCTCCTTCTGTGCAATTTATAGCGTCTGAAAACCCACTGGAGGGTCAGCTATGAGCTCGTTCCACCTCAATGACAACGAATTTGAGTTCTGAGTTGGAGGAGAAATATCATGTCTCTTCTTAACCGCGCTTTTACTGTGTATCATATCACCTAGCACGTAATCACTCAACTTAGAGCCGTCAAGTTGGAACCGACTCATGGCTGACCATCTAGTGTGTTTTCCAAGGCAATGAATCCATGGTAGTGGACTGTTCACCTTTCTCCTTCAAAGCCACTAGTGTTTTCAAACCACAGCCTTTGGATTAGCAGCACAGTTTCCTAATAGCTACACCACCAGAGCCCCTGGAACATAACAAGTATTCAACAAATATTTCTCATGAACAAATGGACTATGGAAGATAAACGGGCAGCGACAGATAGCAGGTTAGGGTTTTACTGGGCAGTATTTTCCATGTTTCTGGATGATCAATAAAGTTATACTTACAGTCTAAAAGATAACTGTGCATAAAAAAATATTCTGAAATCCACACGCTTATGTGGAGTAGTCAGGTGCTCCACAGTTTATAAGGTGGGAAAGAGACATGGGTTAGAGTGGGCAAGAGACGAAACAATCAGTTAAAAATTAAAACTCACCTTTATCATAGTCATCATCCTCAACTGCTTTGTCTTGAAGTTTCCGAAGCTTCAGTCTTAAGGATTTTACCTATATTAATTTGAGAAGGAAAAATCAAAGTCACATTACAATAGCATTATAGGGTACTTATTTGGCTAAAGCTAAGAGAACATTTGGAAACTATTTCCACACTGAATTTCATTCTTCCTAAAAAGAAAATAAAAGAATACCAAAGTACATTTTTCCCCAATGTTGAATCAGACCCATTGGTTTATAAAAAGGTTATGTAAAGAAAATGGAGCATAAAAGTCCACAGAACGAGTTAGAATAATATTTGAAACAAAAGCTTCACACCGTGCCCTATCTGCTGAAAGAAATGCAGAAGAAGAAGGAATTTTGTCAAGTCTCCTGACAAAATGATCTCTGCTCTAAAAATCACAGAAAATGATGAAGCTAAACACACCAAAACTGCATGAGAAGCCCAAGGACAAGCAGGACCCCGCTGAACAGGCTGCCCCAAGTCTGGGGGGAACGACTAGGAATGTGGAACAGGCCCTTTCCCATATGTCCTAGGGCTCCCACACCTCACATGGTAGAGAAAAGTGCTGTCTTACTTAATTTGCATGCATAGTCCATGACCTAGTCCTTTGCCTGAGAATTACCAATATGTCCATCTGTAATTGCTTTTCTTCTCTGCAGGAGGCACAAGGAGTTCCTGAATGTGCATTCCTAACCATCCTCCTTCAGCAATAAGCTCAGCTATCACCTCCTCCAGTCTATGCTAAAGGACCCTTCTCTATACTGCCAATGTTACTCATGTGATTAATTCAATAAATGCTTATCAAGTGCTTCTTATATATGCTGAAGAGATAGCCCAAAATTCTTTTCTTCCTCAACTTATATTCTGGTGTGCAAACACAAAAAATAAACACAATAAACATTGCATAGGGCTTGTGATGGTGAATAATGCTGCTATGAACATTGGTGTACAAATCTCAGTTTGTACCTCAGTTCTCATTTTCTCAGGGTATATTCCAAATAGTGGAATAGCTGGGTCATACGGAATTTCTATGTTCAGTATTTTGAGGAAGTATGAAATTGCCTTCCAGAATGGTTGTTCCATTTTACAAACCCACCAACAATCACACAATGGAATACTATGCAGCACACAGGAGCAATGATTTTGTAAATTATTACCTAATTTAGGAGGGACTGGAGAGCATTATGCTGAGTGAACTTACTCAGTCCCACAAGGATACATATTGTATAAAACCATTATTGTAGAATGAGTATAAGGATCCAAGAGGGGTGAAAGAGTTTGGAAAATGAGGGATGAGAATGTGCAGGGGAAGGGGAGGATAAATCATGGAGTTGTACAATTTGATGGCGGAGGAGGTTGAGGGAAATGGAAAGCATTTGCTCTTGAAAACAGTGTATTTGAATTTTGTAAATAAATCAGTAGAAAATTTTTTAAAAAATAAAATTTTTTAAATGGGGAAAAAATATCTCATAGGGAGCTCTGGTGGCATAGTGGGTAAGGAGATGCGCTGCCAACCAAAAACCAAGTGACTCAACCACACTGGCTGTCCTGTGGGAGAAAGAGAAACAATCTCTTCCCACATGATTTCTGGCCTCTGACAACCTAGGAATCCAACTCCACAGCACCTAACAATAACATGGTACCTTAGAAGGTGATAACTGCTATTAAAAAGGGGGGGGGGGAACACAGGGTAATGGGGATCAAGAATAAAAGAGAGTGGGTGTTGCAATTTTGAATAAGATCTCTTTGAGAAGGTGATGTCTGAGCAAAGATTTAAAACCACTGAGTGGGCCACAAGGCTGTCTGAGTGAAAAATATCCAAACAGAGGTTAGATCCAGCACAAAGGTGATGAACAGAAGTATTCCTGGTGTGAAAATAACAATAAGAAGGCCACTGTGGATAGAAACGACCCATAGCTGACTGACCCTCAGGCAGGTTTTCAGAGGCAGTTAATCACATGGGAGGAGATTGCCCATCTTTCTCCTGCAGAGCAGCTGGTGACCTCGAACCATGTGCCTTCAGGATTGCAGTGCAGCTACTTGCCCGTAGACCACCAACAGTCAGGAAATCAATAGACTAATTGCATTAGGTAAATCTGCTATCAGGGACCTCTCTAGAGCACTGAGAAGCAATGATGTCAGTCTAGAGACTAATGTGTGCCTGATCCAACCCATGGTCTTTGCAATTACTTGCTATGCAACAGAGAGCTAGACAATGATTAAGGATGATTGAAGAAGAGATGTAGTGCTGGAGAAGAGTCTTGAACATACCATGGACTGACAAGAAAAGAGATAGGTCTGTCTTGGAGAAGGTGAAACCAAGTTTCTCCTTGGAGGCTAGGATTTTGAAGCTCCGTCTCACATACTTTGGGCATGTGGCCAGGAGGGACCAATCCTTAGAGAAGGACATCATGCTTGGAAGGGTGGAGGGACAGCACAATGGAGGAATACCCTGGATGAGATATATTGATACAGTAACTAGGGCAATGGGGGTAGGTGTCAAGGAGTCAGTGAGATTGGCTCAGGACAGGACAGGCTTTAGAGTTGCTGTACACAGGGTCACTATGAGTTGCAGGCAACTCAAGTGCACATAACAACAACATTGTGGGCAGAGAAGCTGAATGAGGGGAATCACAGAAGATGAAGTCCAAGAAGCACTGGGACACATTATGAAGGCCTGAAGCCTGCTGAAGAGTTCTGTTGTTACTCTGAGGTCCAGAACCAATGTGGGATTCTGGGCAAAAGAGTGGCATGATCTGATTTATGCTTTAACAACTTCACTCAGGCTGCTGTGTTCAGAACAGGCTCTAAGGGTCTAAGATAGGAAGTCAGGAGGCAATAGTGTAAGATGATGGTGCGAGACTATGGTGGTATTGCTGACAATGGTGAGCTGTCCAATTCTAGATATATTGAGATTGCCAGCTGAGGATGTAACCAACAAGATTCTCAGTCATGAGTGAAGTGTGGATAAAATGGGTCAGGGTAATACCAATTTCTGAACCACTGGAACAATGAAGTTATGTCTAATTATCTTACCGCTTGGAGTACTGGTCTGTCTTATTTGTTTATTTACCCTTCGGTATCTGGAGGTCAAGAACAATCTTGTTCTGTATAGCAGAAAGTGCCAGTACTCACTTGTGTTTGGTCTCTACTCTTTCTGGGTTCATGGGAGAATCACATGTCCCTCCTTGCCTTTCTTGTTAACTGGCCATGAGTAGAAGTGACATGGACATCTCTGGGCTGTGGCATTCTAATGGCTCTCTGGAGGTCCTCTGTTAACTCTCTCAGTCAGGGAGGGGTCAGTGGGCCCAGGCAGCACAGCCTCAATTCCTGAGTGACTCTATGGAGCAAAGTCCTTGAGTGCCTAGCAAAATGTGAAGCACAAACAAGAAAAGCAATTTGATGTTCTGTTGCTGTTTCTTACCAGATTTTCCTAACAAATACAATCTCCAGAGCATACCCTAAAGTTGGTAGTAAATGCTTTCTGAATGATCATTACGATAACCCCTTTGTCCTTGAATTACTCTATCTTCCAACTGTTCATTTTACCAGAAAATTAGTCCTAATATATCAGGGATCTCTGGTGGCACAAAGCCCATAGGGAGCTGTGCTATAGTAACCTAAAGGCAGAATCTCACTGGTGGTTCGACTCTACTAGATGCTCATTGGAAGAAAGGATGGAAAACTCCCCTCCTGTGATTCACAGCCTCAGAAAACACACTGTTAGGTCAGCTATGAGTCAGTTCCAACTCAAAGGCAATGAGTGGTTGTGTAAATCAGAAAGAGGGAGCTCCAGTGGCCTAGTCCATTGAGAGTTGCACTGCTAACCCCACAGCTGAGACTCTAATGGTTTAAATTCACCAATGACTCAGCAGGAGAGGGATGGACAATCTTCTCCCGTGCAGTTTCCAACCTCAGAAATCCAGTGCAGGGTCAGCTATGAACGAGTCCGTTCTGACCCAACATGAGTGAGCTGTTATATATACTAGGGAAAGAAGAAAGTCTATTTAAGGGATTTCTTTGCCATATCAAGCTATATAGAATTACCAAATACACATCCAAACTGTGTTAATATTAAACACTTAATAAAGCTTAAGCAAAAGATCTACAAAAAAGAAGGTCAAAGAAAAATTCACCTACAGGCAACGTGCACCCCACCTACCTCCTCCTGCAATTATCCCTGTCAGACTCTTAATTAACTGCCCTGGGTTATATTTGAATGTTCATCTTGCTGGAAGCACAACATCAGCTGCCTTGTTGTGACAGGCAGTGCCTTCCCTTCCATGCTGCTTCTACAGCCTGGGGTGGGCCTCATTAACCGGATTCTCCCACACTTCCCTCAGCCACACACTCAGTCCACATCTCCTTTCATCTCAGTCCCACCCAACCTCTGGCAACGTCCCTACGTGCCTATTTCTAAACAGCATAAAACACACACATTTCAAGAGGAGTTAAATATTAAATCTCTGAGATTTGCATTTCCATTTAAGCAGAAAGTAAAGGAAGTTTAGCAATTAGAATAATGAAAAGACTACAGAACATTAAGATCCCTGTCTTTTAAGGGATTCTCTTGAAGGACGCTTCCTCAAATGCACAGCCCCACTAGCAGCCACCATATGTGATGTGAGGCCTCTAGAAGAACCCGGGAGAAAATCAAGACCACTCCACAAAGCCATGGACTCTTGTCGGTGGAAAGTTTCTCCTCATAGTAAGAGGCCCTCTGCCTCTATACACTTTCTGAGCCCTGGATGTGGTTCTTCCAGTCACTTGACCCGAATGGGGTGGCTTCCTTTTCCACACAATATACATTTATTTGCACAACACCAGCGGCTATGTTTGCTTTTGTCTAGGTATTTGATCACCTCAGACAAAGACACTTACACTCCAGATAAGCTGTGTATATATCCTATCTGCAGAGAAAAGTAGACATTTAATATGAACTGTAGGGACTAACCAGAAAACTAAACCCCTGGCCATCATGTCGATGTCAACTCACAAAAACTCCACAGGACAAAGTGGAAGTGCCCTCCCTGGCTGTCACTTCTTTTTCCCAAAGAAGAAGAAAGGTGGATTTTAACTTCCAACCTTAAAATAGCACCTAAGTATTGATCTATTATGCCATCAAGTCTCCTTATTCAGGCTAGAGTGGCTGGGAGAAGATGGAATTGGGGCTACTCTGGAGGGGTAAGCAGGAGCTCATCAGGTGGGAAGTATGGGCAGGTCCTTCCAGGGTGAGGGAACGCCATGATCCAAGACACTGGGACCTGGGCATTTCTTTTCTGGCCTCTACAGACACTAATATACCACCTTCCAAGGTTGGAGCAGGCAGGAGGCCAGGAGCAGACTGAGGAAGGTCCTGGCTATCAGAAGTGCTGAAGCAGCAATGAACCAACCACTAAGGCTTTGCCAGAAGTTGACACTCTCCAGCCTGTGTCACAGGAAGATGAGGCTGTTGGCCACATGGTGAATCAAGAGGAGAGGAACTCAAGGACACTGTATGTGCCCACATCTCTTACAAAGCCCAGGTGAAAGATGCTGAGGACTTGAACTATGGCAGAGAGGGAAGCCTGTGAGCAACAGACCCCAGGGAACTCGGGGGGGGGCTGATAAAATGTGGAGGTGGAGAAGAGGTTAGTATGAAGACTGATGGGGTTTCTGCCCAAAGGAACTGGGTGGATTCTGAGAAAAGTCAAATCAGCAAATATTCATTAAGAATGAGAGCTCCAGAACAAGTGTGGCAGGATCTTTATTAGATCAGGTCTCAGCCCCGGCTTCACTCCCCCCTGGAAGGGAGCAAGGCACGTAAGGCAGGAGAGAACATATCAGGCCACAGGAAAGAACAGAAAGTGAATAGGCTAGGATTTCCAGAATGAGCAGGAACGTCCACATTTTTATACACTTGTACTAACTGCCTGAGAAATGGGTACTTTACTTTCTTATTCATCACATCCTCTCACATGTACATGTACATATATGCATGTGCACACACAAACACAAACACATGCACACACAAAGGCATACATGTGTGTGCACGCTTCAAACACCTCACACACACCCATCATACATCACATACTAAACACAGCACACACAACCACACACATCCTCTCACATTTACATATGAACACACAGAGCACACGTGCACACACACTTCACACCTCACACACAAATGCCAGACACACCCACATCTCATACCAAACATAGCACACACATCCATCCCACACACATCCTCTCGCATCTATATATGTACACTCACAGAGCATACATGTGCACACAACTTCACACACCACATATCACACACCAAACACAGCACACACACACGTCAGACATATGTACAGAACATGTACAGTACGTGCTAAATACATATACAAATGTATGGACTGAAACAACTAGAAATCACACACATGTAAATATTGCACACATATTACACACAGAGCACATATGTGCACACACACTTGGCATATATGCCACACACACACCACAGACACAGACACACCACGCATCACACACCAAACACAGCACAAACTCATATGGACACTCCACACACATGCTCATTATACAGATGCACACACTTTACACCCTTCAGACACACCACCACACATCACACACCAAACATGGCACATATAGCTACACACATCCCCAAGCTTATCCTCTCACATTTTATATCCTCTCACATTATACATATGTACACAAGTATGTGTGTATATATGTATGTGTGTGTGTGTGTGTATATATATATATATATTCACACACACATCACACATACACCCCTCCACAGATATACTATACCCACCACATATCACATATCAAACAGCACATAAACAACCACACACACTTATATGTACAGCACCTGCTAAACGCATATACACATGTATAGATGCAAACACCTTGAATCATACACATACAGTGCATAACACAAAAACACACACATATGCACACCACACACCTAGTGCATGCAAAGCACACATATATTCACATGTAGCCGTGAATACACAGAAATCACACACATTCCTACATGCACAACACACACATACACCCTCTCCAGAACCAAAGTGCCGTCCTGCAGGAGGATACACCACGCACCCCACGTGAACCATGAAGCCTCCTCATCTGGGTTCCCGTGGGGTGATTTTGATCTAGACCAACCCAGCCTACTCTCAGCTCCTCTGATCTCTCAGACCATGGGATGGACAACAATGAGGCAATGCTAGAGCTTGTGTTTACACAGGGAGCTCGGGGGGCATAGTCCTGCAGGAAGGTGTGCTGCTCAGGAAAAGGCAACACCCTTTGTTGGTTCGAATCCACCAGTGCCTCCTGGGGAGAATGATGAGCAATCACCTCTCGTATGATTTACAGCCTCGGAAACCCAATGGAGGGTCAGCTACGTGTGGGTTCCGATTCAGCAGTGACGAGCTGGGTCAAGTCATTCTAGCTCAGGTTCAGGACAAGGCTTTGAGTACTGTTATCGCATTTCTAACTAAGTCACTGAGGGTCTGATGACTGGACACCACACATCCTGACATCAATGAAGATGTCCATGGCCCCCTGGGGGGAGTGGTGAGAGGAGAAAAAGCCAGGACCTTATACAATCACCCCAAGTACAGACAGCATGATTGTGTTATGCAGATCCTTCCAAAACCATCAGCAAGTTAGGTCCCCCGGCCTGTCCCAGTGCCCTGTTCAAAGATCAGTTGAGTAAAGGGTGGAGTTGACTGAGAACCACCCAGGCCAGGGCTGCAGCGGGCCAAGTCCTGACAGAAAGGAAAGCCCGGTAGTGAGTGACCAAGAAGACATGATAGAAACAGAGCTGGGCTCCAACTAGAGCAGAGGACATCATCCTCCCTGCTACAGCACCCACCACCAGCCGCTCCCAGGAGGGAGGTCAGCCAGCCACGTAGGTCACCACCTGCCAGCTGTCCCACCTCTGATCAGACCTCTGGCTATCCTAGGATCCTGGGCGGGGGGGACACTGACCTGCAGTTGCTTCTGGTTGTTTAGCAGGCACTGGTCCAGGGCAGGCTGGCAGGTCTGCAGCAGAGCGTCCCAGCCGCAGGCAGGTCCCAAGGTGCCGTCCCCAGTGTCTGAGGGGCCTGATAGCCCGGGGGCGGGGGGGCAGAGGCCCTTCCTCTCCAGCCTGGGCTCATCCCCTGCAGCCTCCCCATAGGAGCGTGGTGGCCACCAGGGACCCGGCAGGTGCTCCAGGGGTCTGGCTTTGGCAGTGGCCTCTGAAGGTCCCTGGTGGGAACCCTCGGGCTCCCTGGTCGGTGGGCAGCCCTCTGCCTCCCCACGCTCTCCCGAGCCCAGGGCCAGCTGGATGAAGCTGAAGCTAGAGGTGAAGGTGTCCTGGGTGCTGATGGGGGGTGCAGCTGGGGGACTGTGCCCCCATGTCCATGTGACCCCTGCTGCTTGGCCCTGACAGGCCACTGGGTGAGCCAGGCCCGGGGTTGCAGAGCCATCCATGGCTGACAGTGCAGGTTCAGGGCTCCAGGGCCTAAGGGGCCTGGGATGGATCCCAAAGCACCAGGAGGGACCCCTCTGGGTGCTCAGAGCCAGGCCTGGCTGGCCCCCTGTGAGCAGGGTCCTGGGTTGGGAGATGGGGTGCTCCTCGGTGCTTACTGCTGGGGACAGACACCTGATCGGGGCTCTCAGGTAGCCGGGCCTCCTGATCAGCCACTTCTTCTTCCGGACATGCGCCTCCGCCTCCAGGGGACCATCCTGGCTGCCTGCAGAGAGAGGACACTTAGTGAGCACTCACACCTGGCCCACAATGAGGGTACACCTCTACAGAGGAGGTTGATTCTGCCATTAGCTCTGTGGCCACCAGGACACACATCTGCCCACTGTAAGGGCTGCAGGCTGGCTGGAACAAGCAGGCGCAGCATCAGGGCAGCTACTCAGCACAAACACTGGCCTGCCGTGAACGCAGACACCAGGATGCAAAAATGTGAGGCACTTCAGCCTCCTCTCCCCAGCCCCCAGGGTCCTCAGCCTTTGTCCCCCAAGCAGCAGCCCTTTCATCCCTGAGAGAACCAGGAAAACATCACATTTGAAACTGGAAAAGCCATGTGATCCATGATGAAGTCCAACTGTGGCTCCTCCCTGAGCCAGCTGGGACATGGATGATCCATGTGGCCCAGACCCCCCACAGCCAGGCCAATAGCAGGGACCCCGGGAAGCTGGCAAAAGGCAGGGCCACAGATGTCAATTTCCTGTCCATTGGTTCCTCCTGCAGCACAGTGAGAGACCCCTGGACCAAACGTCCCAGAGATGCCAGCTGAGTTCTACCCCTGATTACACAGGGCAGGAGTAGCAGCAAAGGCAAATGGTGGCATCTTATGGAGACAGTGAGGTACAGCAGAGAGCACAGAGCTGCCCCACGTCATCTGGTTCAGTCCCAGGCTATGTCGCTTGCTAGCTGTGTGGCATTCAGCAAGTCATTCAGCGCCTCAGTTCCCCACCAGTAAAATGAGCATACAAGCAGTACCTCCTTCAAAAGACTGTTATAAGAATCAAATAAGTTATTATCTGTAGACACCACAGAATAGTACCAAGTGGATGTATAAAGTGTCCTCAGTTCTGCTGCCCTAGTGGCAAGAAGCTGCATTGCAACCCCTGAAGGCATGTATGTAGTTCAAATCCACCTACTGCTCAGTGGGAGAAGGATGGACAATCTCCTCCCATGCGATTTACTGCCTCTGAAAATCGACTGTAGGATCAGCTATGGGTTGATTCAGACTCTATGGTACACAACAACTGACAGCCTAGTTGGTAAGGAGTTGCACTGCCAACCCAAAGGCAGGGGGTTTCAATCCACCAGCTCCTCTGTGGGAGACAGATGGGCAGTCTCCTCCTGTTTGATTTACAGCCTCTGAAAATCCATTGGTGGGTCAGCTAGGAGTCAGTTCTGACTTGACAGTAACGAGTTGTTGTTGATGTTGCCTCTTCATTCTTCCTTTACTGCAGGGTTGTCTACTTATTCACAAAGCATTTACATCTCTATTGATTTCATTTTCTTGTATGTAGTCCCAAAACCTTATGCTTCAATCAGAACAGGAGTTAGAACTATTCTTAAAGAAACAAGCTCAGAAAAGCTGGCTTTCCATACAACCTGTGGTGATGCCATGGCCTGTAGAAAGAAGTCAGAAAGGGGGCACTCCATGCCCAGACGCCCTCCTTCTGCCCTCACAACCTCCAGACCCATCCCCAGGACCTCGCTCACGTGAACCACTGACCACACAGAGCATCATGACTGTGCTCGGCTCTGGCTCCCAGGAGGGACAGCTGGTCAGCACAGCTCTCTGCTTTCTAGAGAGGTTGCCTGCATCACATATTCCCTGACTTTGAGCACATGAGAACAAGGTAGCCCAAGCCATAACAACCCAGGGGGCAGCTCTTTGCCACCTGGGGCATGCTGATGGCTAGGGCTCAGTAAGGCTAACACCCCCCCGGTTACACAGACTTCCTCCTATTTTGAGTCTCACAACATCAGCAAATAAAGGTCCTTCAACTGGGTGACTGCTTTACTCCATCGTTAAGGTAGACTCTACTCTGAGGAGGCAGCTGTTCCTTGACCACATTCTTATCTTCCTCCAACCTAAAGGGATCATCTTCCAGCACCATATCAATGTCATTTTGTTATTCAGAGAGTTCTCAAAGACTTAGTATTTCAGAAGTGGATGACCAGTCCTACATCTTACTACATCTCAGTGCACATGTGCTGTTATTGTTGTTAGGTGTTGTCCAGTTGAATACAATTCACAGAGACCCTACGAACCCTGTCCCAGACATGTTCTCACTCACTCCAGCAGTCACTATGTCAATCCCTCTGGTTAAGGGTCTTCCTCATTTTTGTTGACCTTCTACCTTTCCAAGCACGATGTGCCTCTCCAAAGAAGAGCCTCTCCTAACAACATGCTCAAAGTATGTGAGACAAAGATTCATCATCATTGCCTCCAAGGAGCACTCGGCTGCATTTTCTCCAAGGCACATCAGTTTAGGGTTTTGTTTTGTTGTGGTGTTGGGTTTGTCATTATTATTATTATTATTATTATTATTATTATTATTATTATTATTTTTCAGTCAGAGGAATGTACAGCACTCTTCTGCAACACCACAGCTCAGAGGCAGCATTCTTCCCCTGTAATGTTTATTCATTGTCAACCTCTCCGAAGTGACTGAAAAGACCACGTTAAGTCCTCAAACTGCCACCGCTGCTCTTCAGTAATTTGGAGAGGTCCCTGACTACAGACTTTCCCAGTGCAATATGTCTCTTGGTCTCCTGGCTGCTGGTATAAATAAGCGTGCTGACCGTGGGTATAAATAAGATGACGTCATTAAGACGTTGCCGCACACTTTTAAATTGACAACCGTGCTTAGAAACACATTTGCCGTCATTTGCGGTAACGTGTTAACAGTTTCAATCTTTTCTCCATCTATGATGATGTTGTCTATCAGCTCGGTAGTGAGAAATTTTATCTTTTTTTATGTTGAGATGTAGTCCATATTGAAGGCTATAATCTTGATCTTCTGCAGCAAGCACTTTAGCTCCTCCTCAAGTTCAGCAAGCAAGGTTGTGTCATTCACATAATATAGGTTGTTGATGAGTCTCCATCCAGTCCTGATGCCACATTCATCTTCACAGAGTCCAACGCCTCAAATTATTTGCTCAGCATGGAGACTGAATAGGTACAGAGAGAGTATACAGTCCTGAAATACACCTTTCCCAATGTTGTTAATCACAGAACAGAGGTCAGGTCTTTTGTGCAAAGCTTACTCTGAGTCATATTCAACTCAACAACAGTTAACCACTGCTAAATGAGACTAGTCCTATCTGGAGAAACGTTCTTCCACTTTGCACATCACTCTTTGTCAATGTGCTGTATGAGGTAACCTGGGTTTGGTGTGATGCTGAACCTTGTGCAATGGGGATATCAAATACCAGAATGGTTTCACATTGTGTACTGTGTTTGGTGGAACTCCCAGTTGTAAAACAGGTTGAGAAGCAGGAGCAGCATCCACTTCCTAAACCACATGCCTCTGAAAACTCTATCAACTTAGAGAAACGACGATAGCTATGGGAAAGCATTAAATCTTTTGTTCATATAGTGGCTATTATTCGACCTTGACTCAAGGGCAATCAGCAAAAACAGCAGTATTCCCTTGCTCTGTTTGCACAGTGGCCTGTTGGTACAGGTATAAGTTTTGCAAGAGCACAAAAAGGTGTTCTGGAATTCCTATTCTTCTCAATGCTAGTCATAATTTGTTATTGTCAACAGTCAAATTTCTTTGCACAGTCACTGAAACACAAATAGACATTCTTCTGGTAGCCTCTGCTTTCAACCAGGATCCATCTAATACCAGCAATTATATCACTGGTGCCACGGCCTCTTCTAAACTCAACCTGAACCTCTGCTAGTTCTGTCAGCTGGATTTGGATGATCTTTAGCAATATTTTGCTTGGATGTGATATTAATGATAATGATATTGTTTGATAATATCAACATTCTGTTGGATCACTTTTCTTAGAAATGGGAATATGGATTTCTTCCAGTCAGTTGGCCACGTAGCTTTCTTCCAAACTTCCTGGTACAGTCTTGTGACCACATCAGGACTGCTCTATTATTTGAAATATGCCAGTTGTTGTCCCACTGATCCCTGGGGCCTTATTTTTAGCCAATGTTTTCAGTATAACTTGAACTTCTTCTTTAATCACCATTGTCTCTTGATCACATGTTACTTTAAATATTTCTGTGTTGACCAATTCTTTTTGATACAGTGACTCTGTGTATTCCTTCAATCTTCTTTTTTTTAATAATTTATTATT